TGAGTTATTAAAGATTTTTTTCAAAAACAAAATTTGTTTTAATTTTTATTTTTTTTTTGATTTTAAGGTGACCTCTTTGCCACGCTGCTCTTTATTTGAATATCAGTAGTATTTTTAACCGTCAGACATATTCTGACGGCTGTACATATTTGTTGGGTACAATTAGCCATATCTGCACCTTTTGAGTGCCTATTTAAGTAGTCTGCTTATCATCAGGTTCTACACTAGATGCCATACCTGCATCCCACTAGGGGGGTTATCCATTTAAACCCTCTGCGCCTATGTACTAACCCTTTTATATCCAAGCAATAATACTTAGTATCACCTTATTTTCACATGCTGGCTTAGGGTTTTAAAGCGGTCTCTACCATTTAGGGAGTCCTTTGACCTTGAGGTAAACCTGCTAGAGCCTTCCATACCTACATTTAGACTGACCTAGACTTCAGTAACTTACACCTAGTCTGAGAACAAGTATTTGCGAGCTGAAGCCACTACCGTTATCTACTTCTGCCCTTATAGAGTTCACTCTACTCCAGCCTCTTACTCGTCCAATCTAAAACCCTTCCACTGTTTTATCAAACTTTCAATCCAGATAGCCCGGTTTGATCCACAAGTTACGTTACCTGCTTTCCTACTGGCTTAACCCAGATACCGTCCTGTGCCCTTTTTCTCCGGTTGATTCCGGCGGCCTGGTTGGTATAGTGTTTGCCAAACACCTGGTCCTTGTCCAGATCCACAGCTTATTGGTTCTCTTCTCAGACTTTCCAAAACCGTCAAAAGTAGTGCTACCTCTTTACTCGGGACTTACCAAGCAGATTCCTATTCAGAACAAAGTCCAACAGATTTATACAGGTCTCGGGGACTTATCATGGGTTTACACCACCTTTTATTAGTTTATATCCCTTTGTGTAACTTCTTTATTATACGAACGCTCCAAGATCTTTCAAGTCTGTACTACCACCCTGATTAGGGCTTGCGAAATAAGCTGTCCGTTAGGCGATTATTACCCCTTGCATCTATTTGGTCTGATTACAGGATCTCTATTTCAACACCCAAAATAGTTATCAATACACAGAAGAATTCAATTTTTCATCGTTGGTAGAAATTGAACTCTGGATATGCCACTTGGAGGGCGACAACTTGACCACTTCACTAAATCACCACACCCCCTTGTTTTGATTTTTATATTACATCTAATTAGTATTTTAAGCTATAAAATTTGGATTAGCTGGCTAAGCCAGTTATTTAAAATATTAGCTAATGGTTAGCTAATAGCTGGCTAATAGAAAAGTGGTTTGTCATATAACTAGTATTTTAAGCCATATGATATCTGATCAAAATATCAGCTAGCTAATAGCTAGTCAATAGAAAAGTGATAATTATATAATCTTTGTTTATATTATATGATATAAGCTACTATAAAGGCCAATCAGAGAAGATTTGCAATTTCAAAAAAGTTATGCTTCAAATTATTCTATAGAATTGTAAATAAGACAAAAATAAAAAAATTATAATTATTTTTAAAATTTAATTAACCAAAATTGATTTTTTTTTATTATTATAATAGCTTTTAATAAAAGTTATAGTGAAGTGAACTTGAATTTTGGAACTCTGATATCATATGATGTAATAATTAAATTTCAAAATTTTGATTTTCAGGATTTTAACCCAAATCCTTTTAATTCTAACAATAAAAATTCTCTTAAATGTTTATTTTTAACAGTCAGATGATATATTAGAGTTTATATATTAGATTTGCATACTTGTTAGTTAAATAAATAGACATATCTAAATTTTCTAAATAAATTTAAAAAAATTTTTTTTTTTTAACTAGCCTCTTTAGAACTAAGGTTTTTATTCAAGTATTTACCGAGTGAGGGGCTCATCTCAACCCTGTATATTAGAGAGTATATTCTAGCTATGCCTGTACCTTTTGAGCACCTAATTAAGTATCTACCTATTGTTAGGTTCTACACTAGATGTCATACCTATAACCTACTATTATTTGAGCTATCCAATTAAATCCTCTGTAATGCAACTCTACCTGTATTATCATTACATCTTTACGAAGTTCCAGATTCTTACCTATACCCTTAAGACTAATTTATCCTTGAAGTATCATTGCTAGAGCTATCCGTACCCACAATCTGGTTAACCTAGGTTTTCAGTAACTTATGCCAAGTTCAAGGACAAGTACTTGCGAGCTGAGGCCGCTACTGTTACCTACTATCATCCTTATAGAATTTACCTAAACCCCAGCACCCACTATACAGACTATCTCCTGTACACCCATCATCCCAAACTTCTAATCCAGGTGACTCGAAAGGGCTGTGACCTGCCCTTAGTCTCTGCAGTTGGGTCCTTTTCCTCTGATTACTCTTCTGGTAGCCAGGTTGGTGGAGTGTCTTGCCAAACACTTCAGTCTCGTTCAGTTTTTCAGTTTCCAGTTGATAATCCTTTACGTAGTACTGTTGAAGATCTGTGCTACCTCTCTACTCAGATTTTGCCAAACAGGCTCCCATATCCTGTAAATTCGCTAGATTTATCCAGTAGCTTCACTCGGGTTTTATGTAACTTGTACATCACACTACATGTTCCACTACCTCCCAGTACAAGCTAGTACAACCACCATTACAGGTTCTATAACCCAATAGGATACAGTCTTCCAAATGCATTTTCTTAAATACGAATTTTCATTGCTGGTGGGATTCGAACTCTAGTTCTGCTGCTTGGGGGTGTGACAACTTGCCAACTTCACTAAGTCACCACACCCTTTTAAAATTTTTTTTTATTTTCAATTTTTTTAAATTTAAATATAAAAATCAATTTAAAAATTTAGATACTTACTCTTGACTAAAGATTCTTTGTATAAAATTTGAGTAATAGTTAATAATAAAGTTAAAAATAATCTTGATTCTAAAGTTGAATATTTTTTACTATGTTCCTTAAGTCAAAAGACTGACTCACCATCAAAAATTATGTATAATAAAATGTTTCCTAAGTTAAAGACTGACTTACCATCAAAATTATGATAAAATATTTAGGAACATAGTAAAGACGTTTGACTTTAGGATCAAGATTATTTTAATTTTATCATTAACTATTACTCAAATTTGTATAAAGAATCTTCAGAAACTCAAGAATAAGTATCTAAATTTTAAATTGATTTTTATATTTAAATTCAAAGAGAATTTAAAAAATTTTTTTCTTTAAAAATTTATTTATAAAATTTATCAATAAGTGTGCAATTGTACACGACATGTCAGCTGACTGTTAATAATTGTTCATTCACGATTGTATTCAAAATTAGTAAATCGAAACTTTATAATTTTTTTATTAAATTTGCAATTTAAAAAGTACTTATAATAAAACAATCCATTAGTTTATATATAAAATTGAAACTGCGCAATTATAATACTTTTAAATTGTCAAATATTTTTATTAAAATATCATTTATTTAATATTGATAACCAAAAATTTCATTTAATATTGATAACTATAAAATTAACTTCAATTATGGCATCAGCTGTGAAGATATCAATTATAAAATTAAGCATTGTGATGTAAGCTATGAAGATAACAGTAAAAAAATCATGAGTGAACAATTAGGAGCCGTGGAATAAATTTCATTATCCACTTCTAATTGGCATATAATTTATATTGTTTGTCTTTTTTTCTTTTTTTTTGTAAAATTGGCATATTAATTCTTCATATTCATTCTCTTCATCTTCTTTACTTTCATTATTTTCACTTTTATAATCTTCACTCACCTTTTTCATCATTACTTTTATTATCTTCACTTTCGCAATTTTCACTTCATCATCCTCATCCTTTTCGTTTTCACTTTCATCATCTTCATTTATATCTTAATTCTATTTATTTGCTTTTTAAAAAATTCTATGAGAAATAAAATTGCAAATTCAGCTAAAAAAAAAAAAAAAAAAAAAAAAAAATAGATAAAAAAAAGCTAAAAAAATAAATAGTATTGCTATTGTTTTGGAAGAGCTTTACAATTTAGCTCCAATAGTGTTCTTTGTAATAGGACAAGGGTAACAAAATAAATAATACTGTCGGTTGTAGTAATAACTTGTGCACGTGAGATTATGTAATTAATCGGAGATCGGGGCATTTAATTTATAATATAAATGACGTTTTTCATGAACATCAATGTCCTCAAGATAGATGACGTATGTAATATACTTAATAGAACAAAGAGTAATAATAAAAATGTATAATACGATCGTTAAGAGTCTTAGCGGTTAAAGCAGGGAAATAACAATAAATGCAACAATACGACAATAACTTATAACAATAGCTGAGAAATCAATTCTTAATACTTCTATATTAAAGACATTGAAGTCTAAGGCTTTATTCGAGGAGAGAAGAGACTGCACTTTTATACTTTCGAAATCCATTGAAGGCTTACTACAAGGAACCAGGTACATTTCTATCCCTAAGTCTAGGTCTGTACTCTATTCCTATAACTCTGTTAGCTCTACCAACCTTAGCCCGACCAGACCTATACCCCTAAGCCTATTTCTTGAATATTGTTCCAAACTTTCACATTTAACCCTTCCTTTTTACCTCTAAGCTTTAGTACATGTCTAACTCTTATGCCATACAATAACAAATAAAAAGAATCCATAAATATAAAATAAACAGAAATGACAAAAAAATAATTAATTATACAGATCTAAACTCCTAAACCTTTGCCACAAACTTAGCCCCACAATATACTTATAACCCAGGGCATACACATTCTCGTTACTATAAGTCACGATTTTATGTAATAAAATCGTGACAATAGATAGATAAAAAAAAAAAGCCAAAAAAATAAATAGATAGAAAAAAAAAAAGGCTAAAAAAAACAAATAAATAAAAATAAACCAAAACGATTTTAATATATAAAAATCAATTTAGCAAGCAAATTTGAATGTTAAGTCAAATTACACATAACATAGTTAAATTTTAAACAAGCTAACTTACTCGCTAGGTTAACACTATTGATCCGAATTAAATTTTGAAAGGAGAAGTTCGACTTCTTCCAAGGCTATGCGATTGAGGGGATTGTAATTGCAACATTTTTGAACTACATTTTTTAATTCATCCGGTGCATCTCCTCTTTTAAGTTCTTCAATTAAATTGTCAATTTTTTTAGAAAGCTTAAACTCTATGATTTCTTCATTATCCATGTTATCATATGGTCTATACATAATAGAAAGTTAATATTTGTACTTTTATATCATCAATTCAAAGATATATTTAACATACTCTTTTCCATTCATCAAGATTTCCCATATAACTAATCCATAACTGTAGATGTCTATAAATAAAAATTAGGCTATTATTAAATATGTTGAATAATTAGAAAATTTAAAAACATACCTGAAAGCTGTGGACGATCCTTATAGTATTCCTTCATTTTTGGATCATCAGAAATGTATTCAGGTGAAGCCCATGGAATTGATCCTAATATTCGGAAATAAGACTCAAAATTTACAAAAACATCAATTCAAGTTATTTATTGTATTTACCTTTAACACAACATTCGCAATTTAATCTAGGCCTCATATAACTGAGGCCAAAATCTGCAATCTTCAATGTTAAATTATGATCAACGAAAATATTTTTAGCTTTCATATTTAAATGCGTAATTCCATATTCATGACATGCCAATAATCCTCTTGAAATATCAATAGCCCATTCTGCTTTTTGTTCCCATTCACATTGATTTTTTAACAAATAATCTTGTAAATTTCCGTTTTCAGCATATTCCATTACCAAGCAGATCTTGTCATCTGGCTTTCTAACCACACCATAAAAGGTAATTACATTTTTTATGTCTGCATTCCTAATATTACGATGTTTTCTAAGTTCGCAGACTATTTTATTTAAGTCCATCTTGCCAACGAAATGCTTAACTATTGATATAATAGGAAAATTCCATTATTCTAAATGTAAGAAACTTGCTTTAAATACGTTAATTTTGATATACTTTTATAAAAATTAAGTGACCTGCAACTCCTTTACTACAGTTTTTATATTTCCCAAATTCAATCTTACTATATAATCCGTTATAAATTTCATATCCATTCCAAATACCATTTTCATAAGGGATAAAAATGTTATTATTCTCGCAAACATCATTACTATATTAGATGATCAATTAAAAAGTTTAAAATAATATCATTATTAGTTCGTTTAAAAATTTTACATCTAAAGTCTTTTAAAATCAATTTAAATATGCAATAATATCAAACCTTTCTAATTTTTTTGAAGCGACAATTCCGTATGCAAAATCGTTAAATTCTGCAATTTTATTATTTGAAAATTCTTTTCTAGTAATAAATTAATAAAATTTAAGCAAGGTTCGAGCATATATATAAAAATGAAAATAATATTACTTGGTTAAAGAATCTTAATCAATTTTTTCGTATTTTCGAAATCACTTGAGTTATTATTAGAAACTTCATCTAATCGTTTATCATATAAGTCTACGTCGGTCAAGATTTGTTGACATTTCTCATCTCTTGCACCAGCATCACAAATGAGAATTTCATTCAATAATATAATGATCTTTTCCTGGATAAATTGAATTATTAGTTGAATGGCAATTGGATCACTATCAGACATTACGTGTAGTGATGTAAATTCATATTCCGTATCCGGTTGACTTTTTTGATCTTTGAGATGACAATTTTTTGATCCTTCTTTTCGCAATTGATATTAAGAGTTCCTTTGCCATCATTATCAAAAGATACTAGTTTTTGTTCTTCTCCAATTTTGACAGGAAGAGTTCTTTTTCTCAATTTAAGTAACTTGCATGTAGTGTCTTCTATTTTATTTTTGAGCTCGTCGGAGGTTTTAACATAGAGGCAGTTACTGATTTTGCTTCCACACTGTGTTAACCATGAAAGAAGACCTATAATTCGAAAAGATTCAATTCTTTAGATTATGAAGTAATTTGGCGGAACTCCTTGTTAATCATAATTTTACTGACTAGCATCATGACTTTCTGTAAAACCTATGCTATGAACTTCAGTTCCAAATGGAATGTTTGACAAAGCTTCTTTCAACTTATTTTTAAGTTCATTATTTAAGGTTGATTCGTCAACTCCATCAGTGAAGAATATGATAGCCAAATCATTATTAATCTGGTTAAGATTAAGATTTTCAATAATTTTTCCGAAAACACTTGCGAAGCTTGTACCTTAAAATTGAAACAAAAAAACTTTTTTTTACAAAAGCTCATTAATGTATCGATACAATAAAAGCAAATATATATTTACCTCCGTTAGCAGTCACAGCATCAAAGTATTTTTTTATCTCACCATTTGCCAATAACATGTTTGGATTTTCACTAAATTTTACTTCAGTACATTCTGAACTATAAAAAAAACATGTGATATCACTTTCGGAGAGAATTTCTTCGTGTATTAAACACTCTATAACTTGTAATATAGCATCTTTTGCTTGTCCGATCGATCCTGCCATAGACCCTGTAATGAATTAATCATATAATTTTAGTTTGTTTTTTAATGTGACTGTCACATTTCTTTTTATAATTCCTTTAGTAGAATTAACTGGCTATTATTGTAGAAAAGTCTGGAGTAACATGCTAATGCTAATGAACAAAATTTCTAACATCGCTGAGTGCCGAAGCAAGAAATTCTAGTAATTAAAATAAAGAATAAGGTAATCACCTGAAGTATCGAGACAGATGAAAAGGGAAAGTGGATTTTTTTCACCACTGCTAAACCATTTATTGATTAATTTAAGAACATTGAAATATAGCACGCACTCATCGTTTACAGCATGAACGGATTTTAGACTCATATTTCTTGGAACACGACCTACGAAGGGATTTATAATTTGTTTAATACATGATACTGATCAATAACTAAAATGTGAACACGATCACGGACAGATACCGTAAGTGTAACTCAATGTGTGAGATTCTTTAAATGTTTAAGTTAAACGTTAGCAAAGAACTAGGCAAAAGTAGAGGGTTTAAATATTTTCTGAACGATCATAAACACGAAATTAGATTTACAGAATAAAATCGAGCAAACGACTATTTCCTTTTTCGGGACCGTCAATCATACGAATGAAATTTGATACAAATAATACTGCAACGTTATTGAAGGTAACACCTGAATATGCTACGTGTATACAGTATATAATCTTTCATTATCGTTATATACTCTAAATTGGCTTCAAAGCATGTAACGTTACATACATATAACTTTACTCTATAGAGGTCAATAAATTAAGAAATATCGATCGACTTCCAGTATTCCTTAATTTATCATTGTTTCTATAAACAGAGGTTGTCGAAATTAGTATTAACTGAGTAAACTGTTATAAAGACAAGCCTCATTTTGCGCAAATCCAAATTTTAAGCAAAAACAAAACCTGTTTGTTTAACAAGATGGAAAATCGGCGGTGATATTAATAGAAAAGTCCCCATGCATTCGATAATACAAACGAAATCAAGTTATATACCAAATCTAAAAACCATAAGGAACAATATCAATATGGTAAAGTTGACAGCCGTACAGAGAACGCACGTACGTACGGTGCAAGAAATCCAAAAACCACAATCTCTTGATAGAGACAAGTACGTATAAACAAGTAATTACCAAATTGTTAGCATCAATAAAGTGCGTACATAAATACTTTATTGAAGTCGATAATTTAAGAAATATTTGATTTCAACTTTATGGAAACCATCTCTCCAGAGTTATTATAACGTATGCACATTTGAAATCAAACGTTTCTTAAATTATCAATTTCAATAAAGTATTTATGTACACACTTTATTGATTCCAATAATTTAGGAAATAATTTATTTATTTGTCACTATAAGGAGATTGTGGTTTTTAGATTTCTTGCACCGTACGTGTAGCATATAAATACAGAAATCATAAGATTAGGTCACGAAGAAGGAAAATCCACATCACAAAGTTGTTTTTATGTAGAATTATGTAGAATTTTTATGTAAAACTATGTAAAATTTTTATGTAGCTTATAAAACTTTATAAACCCAATGTAGAATTTACACATCTATTATATATAAATCTATATACATTTCTATGTAGAATTATGTAAAATAGCAAAAAAAATTTAACTTAAATATTAAAGCTAGGATTAGATTTTAAAGTTTAAATTAGGG